GAGAGAGAGAGAGAGAGAGAGAGAGAGAGAGAGAGAGAGAGAGAGAGAGAGAGAGAGAGAGAGAGAGAGAGAGAAGTGGGTAACGGGAAGAGGAAGGGAGAGGAGAGAGGGTGTAAAGGGAGGGGGAGAAGAGGAAAGGGAGAAGGGAAAGGGGAAATAAGTAAATAAAATGAAAATTGAGGAAGTGGAGGGTAGAATGGAGGGAAGTATTGAGAGGGAAAGAAGAGAAAGAGAAGGGGGGATAAGTGGAAGGGCGATGGATAAACGGATAGACATATAGAGAAGAGGAAGATAGAGAGAGAAAGGTATATAAAGAGAGAGGTGGAATGTGATCAATAAGAGAGAGAGAGAGAGAGAGAGAGAGAGAGAGAGAGAGAGAGAGAGAGAGAGAGAGAGAGAGAGAGAGAGAGAGAGAGAGAGAGAGAGAGAGAGAGAGAGAGAGAGAGAGAGAGAGAGACGTATAGAGAGACAAATGGGGCGGTGAAAAGAGAGAAAATAATATTAAAAACATCTTTCAAAATAACTATCCACCAATTATACACATATGACAAAATAAAGAAGAAGGAAACTACACACATATTATTCCAACAGATACAACGATAAGAAGTGATAAGGAAATAATAACAATGATAATAATAAACACAAAATATACCACTAAATTCTAAATATAACTAACATGCTGCCAGAAGAGACAGGAAGAGAATGCCAAGCTGTAGAATGAGAGCCGTCAAGTCAGTCCTTAAAATATCTGTAGAGAAAAAGAAAGAAGAAAATTATTGTCCGTTTAATATTCGAGGGATATGTTATGTAAACTGGTTCTCAAAATTCCTTTCAAAAAGAGTGAACATTTTTTTTTTCTCTGACAACATTAAAGGTGAATTCTGATTTTAAAATATCGTCAAAAGATTACCTTAAAAATTATGTAAATTAGGACATACGAAAAAGAGAGAAAAAAAAAGAATGATAAAGAGCTTCACAAAATATCAATTTTCTTTCATATGTGTCAACAATTGTTAAAATGAATTATATCTAACAATAAAATATTGATTAAAGCTTGTAATGCAAAATATATATACAATAGGGTGCGCAAAAAAACAATATATTTCTCTTCAAAAGGAGCATGTGTGTAAAGCCATTAGTTATCAAACATGATGTAAAGATATTTTTGTAGGTTCGGCTGCTGTCATTATTTTTCCAGCCCTGAATCTAAAGTTTTAAGACTTTAGATATATTGGCAGATATCAGTCTAACACAACGGAGACTGTGTGTGTGTGTATGTGAGTGTATGTGTGTGTGTGTGTGTGTGTGTGTGTGTGTGTGTGTGTGTGTGTGTGTGTATGTGTGTATGTGAGTGTATGTGTGTGTGTGTGTGTGTGTGTGTGTGTGTGTGTGTGTGTGTGTGTGTGTGTGTGTGTATGTGTGTGTGTGTGTGTGTGTGTGTGTGTGTGTGTGTGTGTGTGTGTGTGTGTGTGTGTGTGTGTGTGTGTGTGTGTGTGTGCGTGCGTGTGTGTGTGTGCTCCCCAACATAAACCACCAGAAGAATATAAAGTCACACAAACCAACCCAAATCCCAGACGCCAAACAAAACACCAATAAAACACATAAAAAAAACGAATTTCTAAAATACACATAAAGACTTAATCTAACTCACAGAATTCATCGGCCGAAAAGTGTTTGTGCCAGTAGTCGTAGCCGTTAGTCATGGTAAAGCGATACCTGAGCTCCAGTCCCTGCGGAACAACAAGGCGGGGGGGTGAGAGAGTGCAAACGATGACGTCACGCCTTCAGCTATGACGTAGGCATCGTTGCTTAAAAAAAAAAATTGTGAAGAAATAAAATGTTCGTAAAATTGTCTTTTCGTGATTTGCTTTCCTTTTTTATATCTAAAGCAAAATGACGAAAACAGACAGAATAAATTGAGTAACAGGAGTAAATTTAAACGAATAAACGTAAGTGTCAGTAGGAATGTCATCAATGATGAATAATGATTAAATCATAAAAAAACGAGGCGCTTGGCGTTACTGTGTCGTGTATTAAGCAGTAACTGTAAGATAGTCAATAGAGCTGTTCTTCACTCTTCCCTGCCTCCTCTCCATTGCCTGTTCTTTTGTTCTGAATCGCTAACAAAGGACTCCTGTATCCCCCCTTCCCTTTCCCGTCTCTCTCTTTCTCTCTCTCTCTCTCTCTCTCTCTCTCTCTCTCTCTCTCTCTCATTTTCTTGTCTCTCTTCCTCTTCCTTTTCTTCTCCTTCTCAATACTTCTATTCTTCTCCCGCTCGCTATCTCTCTCCCTCCTTCTTTCTCTCTCTCGTTCGTTCTCCCTCTCGTTCTCCCTCTACATCTACCTCACCCTCTCCCTTTTCCTCCTCCTCTCCCGCTCGCCATTCCTCTCCTTCTCCCTTTCGCTATTCATCTCCCTCTGACTCATTCTCCCCATCCCTCTACCTCTATCTTTTTTTTTCTTTATATCTCACCATATCTCCTTTATTATCTCGTAATTC